TCGTTCTTATTAAATGTTAGTCCTGTATAAAATGTCGTATTTAAAAGTATTGTTCCGTATTCATGAGATTTTGTCGTAAATTCTGCTTTGCGGAAATCTCAGATTGGATCGCGGGCCAATACTTTTCAATGCGACGGGGAATAGAACGTGAAAATCTTGTATGCCTCTGAATCCGAAAACAATTAGGAGAAGAAGTGAATACTTTTCAATACGAAAGTTCGCATTTGAAAATTATCGATTGCGATTGAATACAAGGCATATTTGAAATTAATTAAATCCTTTTTAATGCGAAGCATTCACCACTGCCATCTCGCATTTAGCGCGGTGAAATTTAATGAGAACTAAAACTTTTTAGTCCCTTTCTTCGGATCAGAAAGCAGAATTCAGATGTCAATATTCAAAATGTCAATACTTTTTAATATGTTTCAGTTCGACATTTTATACAGGGAGATTATCCGCTGCGGACAATAACTCTTCTACTTTTCATCTAATATTCAACGATGATAAATAACATTTAATTGCATTCGTTTGACTTTTTTATTTCAAAAATAAAAAAATATATACTAGGGTGAGATTTCACCCATGACAACATCAACGTGATTTTCTTTGATGTTTTTTTAAAAGTTCAAATATTTCGTCGACTCGCGAGATATTTATAATCGGAGTCTCGTCGCGTTAATTAACACATGCTCCTCCGAGCGGGTCGAATGCTCACCGACGGCCATTGTCAGTGCCACGAGCGAATGTCCGGAGCGGACGGGATGCTGAATTGAGAAACAGGACAAAGAGAACGGGACGTCATGCGGGGCATCATGCGATACATCATGCGTCTCCAGACATGTCAAATCGTTTATTATAGAGAAGACTTTGATACGGCAACATGTTGTTACGTCCACGTAACTTTAAACAATATTTAACTTTAAACAATATAAATTCAATCATAAAATCAATTCGACAATAACGTTTAGACCGGATATTTTGGCCAATTGATCCTCAGTCTAGACGTAATAAATACAACACCGAATGCTTCTTCATCGAAGAAGATATAAAGAACAATGGGTAGATAACAAATATCATAACCATGATTATTGATTATCACTCTTATATCATGGAAAACATCCTTCCCCTACTACTAAAAAGGTGGTAAGAACTCGCGCGGGGGTATCTCACCACCTGCCTATAAAAAGCGACGCGCAGACCAGTGGGCATAGATTGATTCATTGATTCGGTTGTCGTTCATTCATTCAGAAAGATTCATTCCATACCATTCATTCACTTACACATTCTTGTATTTCATGACTATAACACACATAAAAAACATTCTTAAAACGCTGATCTATTGACTCTCAATTGTTCGGTAACAATTAAAGATTTGATACTTAAATATTTGTCTCCTCAGATTAAATCCTAAAGATCCTTCTTCGTTCCGAGTTAAAACATAATTCACACAAACTAGTCCGTCCCGGGGTAAATTAGTTAAATCTATTGACCTCAAAAAGGACTAACTTACATACATTCACGTTTCACGTCGTGACAATGTATTCGAAGATTTAACATTTAATACGTACTTTTATTTTTTCTGCTCCTCCCCCCTCCCTCCCTCCCCCTCCGCTCTTTTTAAACTTCCGGGCATAGTCTGGTATAGAGATGGCTAGAGATGGTGGTTGCAGCACGGACATAAACCGCCTGAAAATGGATGTAGCACGGACTTCTACCACATGCAGATTTTACCACCGAGACCTGGAAGTGGATGTAGCATCGTAGTTCCCCTCTCAAAATGGATGCAGATGACGTCCTTTCCCAGTGCGGAAAGTCGATGTCGCAGAAAATGTCGTGTTGGCCGCTCTCAGGTTCTCTCTGCTATATGTTTTCATAATGGGTGCGTTCAGCGGAGAAAACCGCTCAGTGAGCGATTAGTGACTATTGGTCCTTACATTCAGACCAATAACATTGACGAATTACTCTACAGTTGCGCAACTGTTGAGTGTTGTGAACGCACCCAATGTATATTTTCGCAATATACATGGAAACGTGTTTATATGTACATATCGATAAATGTCGATAACGAAACTGTAAGTGTCGGTATTACCGACTTTATTAGTTCCGCTTAAATGAGAGTGCAATCCCATTGGAGTTCGGTCGCCGCTCCAGGATCCCCTTAAAGCTAAGACTCCATGCATGCGGTGAGCTCCGGCAAATGGCTGCGGTGACCAATCAGGAGGGAGGCGCAAGTCCGGTTGCGGCAAGCTCCGGCATGCGTCTGTCTCCTGATTGGTCACCGCAGCCGTTTGCCGGAGCTCACCGCATGCATGGAGTCTTAGCTTTAGCTTTAGCTTAAGGCCCAGTTCCACAACTTGCTTTAAACGGAGTTTAAAGGGGTCTAAAATGTTGACCCGTTATATTCGAGGGTCAATAAAGACCCGTTATAGTATTCTTATTAGACCCGTTATTTTTATAAATTTAGTTCCGAAGTCTCCGTTACGAGCCGCCACCAATTACTGATTACAATTAGTGTCTCGTCGATGTCATATATTACTAAGGGTTTAGAAAATATAATTAAACAAACGCAAACATTTTAGCATTTGACAGAATCATGATTTATATTCATGTGATATAATAAAAATTAATTTAATTTTATATTCAATAATATATCTGAGACCTAAAAACTTTAGGCTATCGAAACTTTAAGCTCCCCGAATCATCTCATTATTTTTTACAAATTATACAATATTACAAATTATTAAATTCTGACTATTATTTATAATTAAAAGAAATATAATCTTATAATTTTTATATATTCATTTCTTATATGTGTATATATATATATATATATATGTTTAAATATACAGTATAACACGAATTACTTTATTTAATTATATTAATTCACATATAACAAAGTATTATTGATAATTTTTAGAGTGGAAACATTAGTAGAGGCAAAGGTGACAAAAAACTATATACATAATCCACCGTATTCAAACGACATAATTTATTTGGGATTTACTAATAATTAAAATAATAGCGTGAGACAAAATATTGGTAGCATCCTACTGATTTTCTAGTAAAGCGGCAGTATACACGTTACATGATTTTACATAAATAAAAATAATTATCGACTCTCAATGTACTTGGGCACCATTGCACGTGTATACCTAGATGGTAATAAGCCGATGTGATCTTAAATTACACACGGTTTGCCTATCGTCTCTCGCAGAGGCTTTCATCCGTCCGCATCACTAGTTAATTGGATTATATTAGTTACGCTTATACTTTATATATTTATACATATCATATTCTTTCATACACATATGCATTCGCAAGCGCGTGCACACACACAAATATATACATATATATTATGCACGAGATCTCTCGATGACTGCTCCCCGTCAGTCAATCCACAGGAACATAAAATTCAATTTAATATTATTATTTCAATAATATTTATTATTTCAATAATAGGTCTCTCTATCTACATAATAGCGCTTGTAGAATTCTATAATTCTTAATTGAACATTACGTCCATATAACGGTTATTTACAAAGGTACTGCCAGAGAGACACATTCCTACCTCCTTCTCCTTTTCCTCTTTTGTCTTGCAAAAATACAGATTGTCGGTAGCTTTCTTTTTATATACCCGTCTGCTCGAGAGCACGATAATCAAATAGTTAAGAACGATGCGTCCGTAACACGGGAAAATGCACAGAGCACCGCAAGCAGGCCGCATCGAAGGTATGATCGTCGGAACGTACTTTCTTACTTTACAGGAGGAATAGTAAAACGCGTGCGTGTAACAGCATTATTATAAAGAGTGCGAGCACGAAGGTTTATGTTTCTTATAAAACACGCTGTCATACATCGTGTGTCTATGTGTGTTTGTGTTTCTCTGTCTGTATGTGTATGTACGTGTGTAAACTCTCGTGGCGCATCAAAATTTACATTCAATATAAAACTAAACGTAGTCTTTGAACTTTATACAGTACAGTGTATTCGAGCTTTTTACAAAATTTCGATTCGATATAGATACATGAAATATTCACGCTTTTAAGCTGTGTGTTTGTTATAATTCATATTTTTTTACGTTTTCGTACATCCTATTAAGATTGTTCGGAAGTGAAGCAATATAATTATATGTATATATATATATATATATATATATATATATATATATATATAATATGTGTATATGTATATATATTGGAGCTTTCCGATAGAGCCGAGCGTTTGCATCTCAGTTGCGAGTATATGTCTCTGGATCGATGCGAAGCACTGGAGATAAAAACTTCTTTATACAAACAATTTTAGTAAAAATATTGAATCTTTCCGCTTCGCGCAATCCAATTATCGTATTTCTCTCTGAGGTTTGTTGAGTGAACATCAAGAGATAGAAATGTTTTTTTTACGTTAGTAATAACAATGGCCTTTCTTCGGTTCCTAGAAAGGTAAGCCCAAAAATAACACTTATATGAATCAACATGAGCATTCAATTCGTGTGCAGTCTTTCTTCATAATCTTTCTCCGTTAAATCAAACGTTTCCGCACATATTAAATCAAACATTTCGATAACTAAATTGTTTACACACGCCAGCCTCTCTTCAATACAAAAACAACATATACGTACAACTTCAGAATAAAATCTCGTAAATAAAAAAAAATATAAAAAAAAAGAACGCCTCGAATCTTTCGAATCATCGTTGACAAAGCGGTAATTTCGACATAATTAGGTACACGTAGAAAAAACGTGGAACGATATCTCTATCTTTTCTCTTCACGTTAACGATGAACTTTTTTATTTTATATATCAAAAGTGTAGACTTGAATTTGCGAAACGACGAGGAATTTAGGTTACGTGAGATTCTCTCACATCACTGCAGAATGTATATAACAACACAAGTTTATTTTTAAACGATAGAAATGAGGAGGAATATAGCTTAACGCACACACTGACGTACGCTTCTTCAAGTTATTACGCATTGATATATGTATATATATATATATATATATATATATATATATATTTCTTTTTTCTCTCTTTTTTGTTCCGATATTAAATTCTTCCTAACTACACCCTTTGTATACAGTAAAATCATATCACAAGTCTTGAATCGCTCGTCTTTGACCTAAGTGCGCAATTAACGTGGAGAGACACTACAGTAAATATCACATGGAGCAATGATATTTCAATTAAATACGTCATACAGCGACTTCGCTAAAGGTAAAGGTCCACCGTTCGATCGCGAATCTCGCGAATAGAATCGAAATTTCTGTTTCAAACGGTACACGTGAGAAACAGTCGTTTTCATTCCGCTTCATCGTGAGACAATAATTTATATACTTTCAAGAAGTGTAAGCTCAGGCATATGACTGATCCAGCGATATAGCTATCTTATTCCCTTTCTCGACCCAATTTCTGAGACGCCCCCGGAGTTCCTCGAGACTCTTTGACTTCGCCTTGTTTATCCTCTTGTACTTCACGTCTTTTGGCTTCGTCACGGATCTGTGGTTACTCATTACCCTATTGTACGTCACCTGAAAGCATAAACGAGTCGAGTCTTTACGAAAAACGTCGACGATTTAGAGTCATACGATGACTTGACTTGATATGCTGACTTGAACGTTTGAGCGCCCAGAAGAGCTTGTCAAAAAGGCCAAATCCATGATGCCACGTAGGATTTAGCCGATGTTAATGGCAAATAAATGAAATTGCCCGATAACAATGTCAAACTGAACTCTTTCGTGTCACTGAATACGAAAAAGAAGGGCGACAGCGCTCGTCGGCGTTTCTCGTGCGCGCTTCTTAGCAGCACTCCCATCAAACGGTGCAATTAACGGCCCAAGTGGAGCCGTGCTTCGCCGACAAATCTAATTCACGTACGCCGACGAGCTCTCGATTCGCTCGTGCTCACCTGCGCCTGCTGGCTCTCGTCTCTCGGCCGCTCGCTGGGCGGAGAATCCGTCTCCTGAGCGAGCCTCTCGAAACTGCCGTAGAGATCTTGAAGCCTGCCCTTGCCGTTGCCCAAATTCTTCGCCCTCCTGTCTTCGTACTCCGAGTTCTCCGTCGATTCGGATGGATCCTGATTGTTCTCGCTGTCGCCGTCCTCCTCCACGGAATACACGGTCTCCAGGATCTCCGGTCTTCTGAGGAAACCGTTGCACCGTCTCATCGACGAATACTTGTTCGACGGCTCCACCGCGTCCGACACGGAACGGATCACAGTTACGTCGGTGATGTTGGACCGAAACCTGCGGGCCAATCGCACGAGTGCGGTCAGTGAACAATCCAGACTGTGTAACGACTTCGCCACCAGACTCGCTCGACACAGTCATTTTATAACCCATGATAATAATAACATTATCTGCTTAACACCAACGTTACAGAACTGTTTGTAAGTCAATACGATTTCTGGTCGCGATTTTTGTTTTTAAATAGTCATCATTTATTAACGGGAAAGTCGTTTTCAGTTACACAATGGAGTCGAACAAACGCGAGGGGAGAAAAAAAAGCGCAATGACAAAATAAAATATAAGTAGTCTGACAAATAAAATTTTACACCATACACACGAGTGAATGGTGAATAAATAAATAAATAAATAAATAAAACATAAAGTATAATAAAAAAAAAATAAATAATTGTCTCATGAGAGCTTCTCATGCGTGAGATGTCTCCTCTAAGAACGCGCACCTCGGTGGGGCTGGATCATCGGCGGCCTCCTCGAGTACCACAGCGCTGTCGCTGTCGCCCAGGCTATCCAATCGGTCCAGGGCGTCGCAGGGTGGCGAGTCTCTGGTGCCGGTGGTCCTCTCGGCCAGTCTGTTCTGCAACTGCCGGATCACCCTTTGTTGTCGCAGGATAATGGACTCTCGCTGACTCAGACTGGCCTCGATCTCCTTCTGCTTCCTGCAGAGCCTCGACTCGAACAGCAGAAGCTGCGACGACAAGGTCCGTAGTTGCTCAGCCTTCTCGCGCGTCAGTCGTGCCACCAGGTCCTCCTACGAATCGTCACGGGGACGTCGTGAATACATCGACCAGGATACCCGAATTCTCAAGTTCGTCTTCTATCATATCGTACGCGGTTACATTCGCGTCGCTTATTAATTAATAACGAAGCGCAATCGCGACCGTGGCGGAGACACGGCGACTCGCTATGGGTATCAAGTAATTAATTAGCGAGCGATCGCCGTCGTTACATTATCAGCGTTTGCCCAGCGCATTAATTGGTCCCCCTCGCGCGCAACACCGTAAAACCCAATCGGCTCCTCTCCCTACTCCACTGTATTCTCTCTCTCTCTCTCTCTCTCTCTCTCTCTCTCTCTCTCTCTCTCTCTCTCTCTCTCTCGGCAGCTCTCGTCTGCCGGTCGAAATACCGTTCGAGGGGAGCCGTTTAGCGGTAGAGTACGGCATACGGTATGTATTGAATCGTCACGCTATTTGTACAGACATCGCGCGCCAAGAGTACAGGCTCCCTTTGAGCTCGCGCGTCACTCGCTGACGCGAGCGTCTTTTGCCGTCCGCACGCATTGATACGCGCGGAAGCTGCGCTGCGACCGTTTGCACAACGGCGAATACGGTAATACGAGCACGCTTCTGCACACAACGCGTGTATCCAGCGACCGACTTCGCGAGAGCGTCGCGTTACCGCCTGCCTGCCTGCCTGCCTGCCTGCCTGCCTGTCTGCCTGCCGGCCTTCCTTCCTTCCTTCCTTCATTCCTTCCTTCCTTCCTTCCGTCCTCTCGTCGTCGTCCTCCTCCTCCTCCTCCTCCTCCTTCTCTTGCTGCAAGGAGGACGAGTCCATTACTCCCGCTATTGTGCAACGTAAATGGCACCTTGGCGGTGAGACGGCCAGGTGCTATCGTCGTTGCGCATCACGCGTCCCGCCGGCGCGGCGGACGGGGACGAGGAGGACGAAAATAATTGAGACACTTCACCGACGCAAGCTGGTAGGCAGGTAGGCAGGTAGGTAGATACGAGCGAGTGAACGACCGGTTAATGCCTCGAGGGACAGATTCTACGTTTACGAAATGTCATTCTCCGGCGAGAGGGGGGGAGAAAGAGAGAGAGAGAGAGAGAGAGAGAGAGAGAGAGAGAGAGAGGGAGAGAGAGGGAGAGAGAGAGAGAGAGAGAGTGCGGGCGGGATTCTTCGTTCGATCGTTCGATCGTTCGCTCACTGCGCGCTGAGCGACGTAACTTATTGATATTTACGTTGGCGTACGACTAGCGGCTGCGCGGAGCAAAAAGTTCGATTAAATCAACGCGACGATGAACGAAGCATTCTCGTCGGAGGAATTTCTGACCCTCCTGCGCAGCGGATTCGGCTCTCGAAAGCCGGGAGAATTCTCTGTTCTCCGACGAGCGAAGCGTGCTCGCTTCGTTCGTTGGCACTCGTTATTTCAAGCAATCTCTCTTCCTCGCCGAGAAAAAGGTCGAGTCGGGAATTGAATCAACGATCTGATCGTATCGAACTGAAGAACCGAAGAATTTGGTCGGAGGTGAAAGATTAATGAAACTCGGAAACGTAACTCGTCGGACGATCGCAAGTTGGAGGGGCTTCTCCAACGAACCGCCGCGTCGACGCGAGATCGACGAGAGAGAAATGCGCGGGGAGGATATACGCCGAGTGTATGAACGATATACAATGTATAAAACACAAATAGAGTACTCTGAAGCGAGAGGACGGGCGAATTTGTCGCGAAACGTCGCTCACGACCAGCGCTCTATTCGTGCGCGCAAGGCGGGGGAGACGAGGGGCGTCCTCACCCTCCTCCCATCCCATTCGCCGTCTGTAACCCGCCAAAATAGATTTATCATGACGTATTAATATTCCTACCGTTTGAACTCGACGAAAGTACACGGAAAGTCGTTATCCGCAATCTGCATCGGCCATTCGCCGGCGCGCAGCCGGCCGGTCGGCCAGCCAGCCAGCCAGCCGGAGAAAGAGGATCGTTTCGTATAGCAATTATTCCCCGGCAGATTGCCGGCGAATTTAGTGGGGGAGTCCTTTTTTTCGCGGGGCTACCTCGCAAAACCGGGAATCGTTCGCAGTCACGCGAAGTCAGACGCGAAATCGTACGATGTCACGAGACGCCCCGGCTTATCCCGGAAGTGCACGGAAACCTCTTTATGGCAATGACTCATGGCAGCGGTGCCGTTTTGCTCACCCGAAGGAATTCGCCCCCCCCCCTCTCTCTCTCTTCCTCTCTTCCTGCTTCTACCCCTGCTCTCCGCTCCCTCGCTCACTTCTCCCATTTCTCATCCCCGTTCTCTCCATCGTTACGGAAATTAATGCATACGGACGAGTCGAGGGATATTTTAGCGAGGAGTCGCTCGCGACGAATTGGGAATAAATCGCCCGTTTAACGCGATAGTTTCCTCTCCCTCTTTCCCTTTTTCTCGAGAAGATCTAATCACGGGTGTAGCGCCATGCGCGGAACGTTAAACATCTTCTCAGGGAAACTCGAGTTTCCGGGACGGTCGATATGGATTTCTCGTCTCTCTCTCTCTCTCTCTCTCTCTCTCTCTCTCTCTCTCTCTCTCTCTCTCTCTCTCTCTCTCTCTCTGCGAGGACTCGAACGGCGGAAGAAGCCTCGATCGCGCGAGCCCGTTCACGCGCTTGAAACGCGCTTTCCTCCCGTCGCTCCGAATACACTTCGAAGATATGTGGTCGTTCGCATTCAAATGGATCACCATGTATCTAATATTTCACTGTCCGTAACATCGGTTTGGGTCGGGCGTGTTTTATGGTTTTCGGGGGGTAATAGCTCCGATCGATCGTTCCGCGTGTTTTCGCCGAGCGATCGCCGCGCGCGAGCGAAGACGGGACGGCGGCACGGCGCGGTGGTGGCTTAGGGATTGCCATTCGCGAAGACTACCTCTTCGTGATAGAAACTTACCTGCAATTTCAGGGTCCTCCGCCATGCGAGCATCTGCTGGGCCTGAGCCCGTTGCCGCGCTCGGAGAGCCGCTATGACCGACTTGGCTTCCTCGAGTGACGTCACTTCCACCTCGTTACTGTCCTTCACCGACTCGCCCGACAAGTCACTGACGACGCGGCCCTCGTCGACGGTAGCCAATATGCAGCTGTCCATCGACGTCTCGTCGAAGCTGCAAGCAGAAAGTAGCGCGCGGCTGTGAATCGTCTCGTTCGACATCTGCCGAGCTTCCGGCAGCGGCGAGTGTTTCCAGACCTTTAGCCCCTTCGAGCAGTCTCTAAAATTAAGCTCGCTCGTATACGCGTGCAATGTTTATCGATTAAATATTTATTATAATCAAATATTTGATAATTAAATATATGCATGCATACTTTATTATTGTTATTATTATTATTATTATTATATATTATTATTATTTATTCACGACTACCAGGCCCATTTAACGTACCAAGTTGAAATACAATGTTGATATTTAAATAACATATTTAAATAACGGTATGTAAATGAATTATATAAATTGGAACTCAGATATCAAATAGTGTCCTGCCGTTTATCGAGGACTTCAACACTCATTATTCTTCCGCGAGCTACTCTGGCTGTCTCGCCCGCGATCCTGTCAGTTGGTCGAGGTAATTCGCGATCGTCGCAGAATTCGCAGAAGTTACGCTCGCTTCGCACGCGTGTGCGATAACGTAAGAGATTTTCGGGATTTTCGGAAGCGACGGGTCTGAATCGGAAAGCCGGGGGAGGACGATGCGTCTTTTCCGAGCGATTACTCGTACATTTCGCAGGGAAATCCCCGCGCAACGGCCAAGTCGGCGTTTTCCACGGCGAACGGGAAGGGCGAGGAGAGACGACGTTGTCGTCTCGTTCGAGCTCGGAACGAGAACCGCCTCCCTCCTCCGACCTGCGATTTGTTCGGATACCCTTCACGCACAGGCACACCCTCCTTCATTTTCATCGCTGCGAGCACTAATGAATCGTTCGGTAATACGACGAATAATGAAATCCGACGCGAAGCAATATCGGGTGCGACCACGCGCGCGCGTGGAGGAGGGAAGGTAACCGATCCTAATGTCTAACCGAGAAACGCGATCGGCAAATAAATCAGCGATCGCGGAAACGATATAAGTCGGAGGCTCGATAAAACTCGAGTTTGACGACCGAAGCCGGTACGGAAAGCGATACGCATGGATATACGCTACGCATTCGCGAGCGTCGTTACTTGGTTTTCCTGCACCGGAAGATGGAGAAACAGCGCAACGCGACACCTTCCTTCAACTTCCCGAGCAAAAAATTGTTAGGGCCATCCTTATGAAGCATAAGATCCCGATAAGGCTGAAAGTAGGATGTCTTAAAAAGGGATGTCTTTGTTGTTTTCATCTCCGTTGTCGTCGTCGTCGTCGTCTTCGTCTTTGTCGTCGTCGTCGTCGTCGTCGTCGTCGTCGTCGTCGTCGTCGTCATCATCGTCGTCGTCATCATCGTCGTCGTCGTCATCGTCGTCGTTCTTCGTCGTCGTCGTCGCCGTCGTCGTTCTTTGTCGTTCTTCGTCGTCGTCGTCGTTGTTCTTCGTCGTTTTTCGTCGTCGTTCTTCGTCGTTCTTCGTCATTCTTCGTCGTCGTCGTCGTCGTCGTCGTCGTCGTCGTTCTTCGACATTCTTCATTGTTCTTCGTCGTTCTTCGTCGTTCTTCATTATTACTACATCAGGCCTTGAGATGAGCCTTTTAGACCTTAGATATTGCAAAATAACGCTTTAACACGGAAAACTGATCCGTTAGAAGGATTTTTTAAGGATGCTTTAGTTTTTATACAAAATCAAGTTTTGTTATAGAAAATTGATAAGATTGTCAAGCGTGTAATAAAATTGTCATAGTATTTTAGTAGATAGCTCCGATTGTTTTAAAGATTTTTTAGTTATACCGCAATCAAAAACAAATTTAATCAGTTTTATTAGTCTATTAGTCTCTTCCAAGAATTTTTCTAGTATCGCCTTCGTTTTTAAACGCAACAAACTTTAGTAAAAACAGTAGCAAGATTTTTATGTGTAAAGGAATGCTATATTTTATTGTAAAGTATGCTATATTTTTTAAATAAAAAATTCTTGTTGTATATTAACAAGGTTAAAAAGAAATAAAGAAATTACAGTTTAAGTTTCTTGGAATGAAAAGAACGAATATTTTTATTCAAGCAATAATAAAAATATTTCTTTATAAGGCTTTATTAATATTGCCTTATAAAATCTTGCCTTAAAAAGTTATAATATTTATAAGGACCCATTAAAACCGTTAAACCATTTGTTACACATCTTGTAGAGACATGCTTGTCTCTCTATCCTTACTAGAGCCTAATTAACGTTAGGGAAAAATAATCGGGCTCTTACCAGAGCTTCATTAATTTTTCTATTCGGGTTGCGCTCGACTTGGCGAGTCTGGAGAAAATTTCCTCTGGGACTCGAAGTCGCAGACTCGTTAGAAATCGCCAAGAAACACGCGCGCGCGTATAAAAAAATCAGTCCCTTTCAAACATGAAATGAAGCGGAGAACAAAATATCATCCATCAATGAAATTTTCCCGAATAAAGCAAACCACGTGACTTGCCCCCGTTTAGACCTCCGATTTTCTCTCCCGACGCTAAAATCTATAACTTTCTGAGAAAAGAAACGATTCAGTGAAAAGAAACGACGAGCCCCTCTCGCAGCGAGATCCAATACTCCTGCGGGTCGTTCCACGTAATCTGCGCGGTATCACCGCGCGCGATCGCTTTATCGCGGTCTAATCCGTCGTGCGGATCATTGCGACCGTAAATAAAAGTAGCCAGCGAAGTTACGCCGGCGAGTGTAACGCGAGACCAGTACGTACGCGCGCGCGCACGCGCAGTATAGAATGTTTCTAAAATTGAAGCTGTTCTCACGGAAACTTTAGAGTCGTGGCTCTCGCGAGCGCTGTAAAAGCGAGCGGTGTTACGAGCGAGCTCTACGCGCGCTCCGCACGGCGAGTGATATCGATTTCTATCTGGAAATTTACATCGAGCCGTATATCAAACGGATACATTGCGGTCTCGAGCGTAAAATCAGCCGAATGCGCGCAGCCGGCGCGGCACGGCGCGTTCGTTCGCTCGTTGAAAACGTGTAAGCTCGCCTCTGGCTCCCACCACCTGAGCAAAACCCGGCTGCTCCGCTCGAAAGCTCGAATAGAAACACGTGTCGTAAGCCGTGTACGGATTACACGATGGCCAGACCGTCGGCGGTAAACGAAAGCTCTCTTGGCCAACGAGCTCGCTCGAGAGGGTCTCCCTTACCCTTTGAGGGTGCGCTTTCCCCGGCCGAATTCGAAACGAGATTCCGCGTCTCGTCTCCTAGAGCGACTCCCGATTGTATTTGGGAATTCTCGCTGTAAAATGGCGAGCGGCTTCCGAGATCTTCCAGACGACCGACCGGTCGTCGCCTAGCCGAGCGGGACGGTCTCCTCTTGTCAATTTTCTTCCTTCGAGTAAACGAAGCATCGGCTCGTTTATGCTTTCGACGGTGTCCGGCGAGTCGGACCGAGAGCGACGTGTCGATTCTCGTCTCGAGCCGTTGGAGGAGCTCGTCGAGAGTACGGCTGCTTCCGCACTGTCCGTCCAAATCGATGCTAGGCAGGCAGGATTTCTCTGTCAAATCCTCCTCCCGTCAAAACGTTCTTCCGTGCTTTCGCATCGGAGTATTCACAGCACCCGTCACCGTCGCACCCTTCTTCCACCCGCGGTCGGAAAAAATTTGACGGAAGCTTGGCGGGCTCCCGCCGCCGTCTAGACGGACGGTGTGAATCCAGCGTAAGAATCATTCCTGCCGACCCGACGCGTCCTCGGCAACTCACGTTTCTCGATCGCCGGGCGATTTGCTAAAACGCGCGTAGTCCTCGGCAAAACGAGCGAGATGCTGAATTATTTATCGATTTACGCGGCGATTTACTCTCGCCGCCGCCGCCGCCGCCGCCGCCGCCGCCCTGACGTATTTACGGAAAGCATTTTTCCAGGCCACCCCCCCCTCACCCTCCACCCCCCGCACATATACACTCATATTCATCCATTGGCTGCCGACTAATTAAGCTCGAATAAATTATTCATGAATCGTGTCTGGTTGAGTCATGCCGGTAAATTTGACGTTTTCTTTCTCACAGGCGCTCGATCGATCGCCCACCCTCCTCCTCCTCCCAACCCTCCATCCTCGTCCCTCGTGCGTGGAGAGCTTGAGGATCGAAACTCCCGCGGTGTTACGGTGTACGATAGGACACGTATGTTTCGCGTATGTTACCCCCGGCGGCTGGAGGTGCCCGAGGAGGAGCAGAGCGGAACCACCGCTGCGATATAAATGCGTTTACCGGCGGCGGGCGGAAGAGAAGGGAGGAGAAAAAAAAAGATAGAACTAGCGGGGCAATAAAATGGCGAAGTGAAATTTATTAACCGAGCGAGAGCGCGAGAACGAGCGAGAGCGCGAAGACGATCGGTCGCCGCCCGGAGGAGCCCCGATCGGAGGGTGATTATTATTTCACGGTTATTATTACTCGAGCGCGCGCATTATATATAATGCCGGGGGAATTAATATCATCAATTGTTATTACTCGTTACAATTAATTACTCGTATTAGTCGGAAGTTTATTAAAACGCCGCCATGAATTATTAATTATCAAACGTTACCGCCGTCTTCGCGAGATTTATTAACGTCGAAATTAATTATCAGCTATTATTCGCAACGCCGCTCGTTGTGATTGCGTCGACGAGCATTCGCCGTTGCGCTACGCCGTAACGCGCGTTGACGATGACTCGACAAAGAGACGTCCCTCATTTGAGCCACTCGAATTCACCGCTCAACTCGGATTTCGGACCGACCAGAACATGGCCTCACGGCCATGAATTCGCTTTAACGTTCGATCCTTACGCAACGTCTACAATCACAGCGACGAAGAGTCTAATCCGATTTAGCCGTCTCGTCTGGGACCGGCTTTCTTTCTCTCTCCCTCCGCCCCCATCTATTTATCTCCCTCCCTCTCTTTCGCCCTAAGATGCCCAAACATCGGCGCGTCGCGTCGTCGGCCTCGCGGCAAACATCCCGCATGACGGTATTTCGCATGCGATGTGTACACGCACCGACACGCAGACGCTGCGCGACGCGAAGGACACTCACCCGACCGCGAA